TTTTTTCCCTTCCCCCCCCCCCCCCCCCCCCCCCCCCTAATCTTTCTCATATCTACAAAATTATTTCAGTAGCTGGATAAGTACATTGTGCAGTATTTAGCATAGGAAGCCTCTTCCCTTCAAAATTCCACCAGATAATATTTAGCTACATTGCACAGTACTGTTTTTGCCATTTTCTCATCTCTTCTTATGAAATTGTACAAGCAGCAGCAGATATACCTCAAACAGAAACAAATACTGTGTAGCTCAGCATAAGATTCTTACAATAGACAATTGCTCTACTGTAGCTAGAACCATTCAAGTAAACAATTTTGAATATTACTATATGTAAAGATATTTACCTTGTGCTAGACTGGGAAAGGTTGAAACCTTTCACAATAAATTGAGCACTAGCACTTGCAGGAACAGCAAGTGGTTTAATGCAAGAAATCCTACAATGTTGCGGGCTTTTGAGACGCAGGGGCACATCTAAGACTACCTGACCTGCAGGAGTGATACATGAAATCAAAAAACCAATTCTAGTAACCAAATTAATAAACAATATAAGATCTTCATGATAGAAAAAATTTACAATCACTTGAGAGGAATGCTCACACAACATACAGTGTGAGAGAGAACAAACCGTTATACAGAAAAGCTACAGTGTGCTGCACCCTTGCATATATCCATCCTGTTGTCCAAAATGAATCATTTGATGCAGCAAGAAGCTTTCTCAAGCTTGCTCCTAGATTACAGTAGAGCTGCAATATCAAAATAGAAAAAGCACATTTAGATTCCTTCCCCCTTTCAAATTGATCCATCCAGCAACCTGCATTTATCAAACAATACCTCCTCCCATGCAGATTTTTCAAGACGGAGATATATTGTTAATATGATACAGCCTGGCCTTATGTAGCTCTCTATCTCTGTAGGGCTGTGGGATAACCAGTTGAGGATCTGAAACACAAAAGAAACTGTAAATCAAACATGGCACAAAGAAACAGTGCTGTAAAATTGTTTATAACAACTTGATGGCACAAAAAAGTACCTGTGACCGGAGAAGAAGGGGAAAATCATTTGGATCCTTACCAAAGAGTTTAAAAACAATTCGATCCGTGCGACTCTAAACAATAAACAAATAACATGTCGGTAAATACAATCTTCTAAAAAAGGAAAATGAACCTCAAATAATGACCTTAGCAAAATAATATCTTTACCCATAAAGATATCTAAACAATCATTTAAACAACCCTTAATATTTTGATACAATGGTAAATATCAGCATTATTAAATTATACATAAATAAGGAAATGAATTTAAATAACATCAAGAATATACCTGAGCTTCTCCACTGGAACTAGATGGTGATTGGGTAGAGGTTGAATCTGAGTTTCCACTTGTCTGTGGAGGACTCGATTTGAGAGAATCACATTGCAACCATGAGGGATGACCAATAGACCCCATCTCTGAAGCCACACAAGGATAAGGCTTCTTATGAGTCTCAACAGTACTCTGTATATCATTGTACACATTATTCAGGTCAAAGTTAATTAAAGTGCCCTTTCCAACTGTAGTCTCTGCTGCAGTTAATTGGGATGGAAGGTTGTCCTGCCGTAGTCCTGAAGGAGGTTTTAAAATTCCCACTCCACCATCACCTGAAGGTATACATTTTTGTGTCCTACCATTAGCAGGCACTGTTTCACACTGTGCCACAGACATTGGAGGGTCCTGAATGATGATGCCATTATCTGTCTTGATGGAAGAACCAGACGGCCTGGAATTAAGACCATTTGAAATAAGGTTGGGTTTATCATGAGCAGCTCCAGGTGTCCCGGCATTTACCAAACCTTTAGATTCCTCCAATAAGGATGCTAAACTTCTACCATTAATTGGACCAGCCAGACTTGCCAGGTTCCTTAGTAGATGAGAAAGAATATCCTGGTTCTTTGTATGATCTGAGCCATTTGCTGCAATTTGTAGAAGACATAATATGTGGCGTCAGATAAATATGCCAATGATGATATCCAGGATGAAGGTGAAAGGCTAGAAGATTCCAACAGAAGAGACATCAGTATAACTATAAGCTCAAGTCATAAGCAACTTTATTATTTTTCAAGTAATGTTTCAGCAGAACACACCTTCAGGCTTTCTAGATTTGCATCAGGAATATGCCAAAATGTCATCAGAAGGCACATGTAACCAAAATGGGAAGTAAATAATGATGATGACGGTACACTTGGAAAACAGAAAATCACTATCATATATTTTGATCAAATCCTTTGTGCCAATCATAATGTGGAGAATCGATTTCAATCTGGTCCGGTTCCGGATAAGATGATCAAAGATCAAGTAGGTAACTCCCTACGCCCGCACAATTCCTATTTAGGCAGTTGAAAGTCTATATAGTAGAGCAGAAAAGTCAGGCTATGCTGTTAAAGCTAACCACCCAGGTTCTAAGTTCTAACTTTTAATTGAAGTTGAACATATGCAAAGTTTAGGTGAAGCTAGGTGTAGGAGAATAATAGACTCCTCAAGTCCCAAGCTACTAAGAAATTTATTTTATTAAATTCAACTGTACCTTTGGCATGCTTCGCCATATGAATGAACATAAAATTACAAGAAAACCATTTCAAAAACTAGACTAACCAATCAAGCCACTCATCTTAACTCCATGATCTCGTGTCCAAATTCTCTAAATTAGCATCAACACTGATGAGTGATGATGACACCTACCTTATGATGATTTTGCCACTAAAAGACTTATCAAACACTACCAATAAGTAGATTGGATTCAGCATCATCACAGGTTCATAGTACAGCAGCCAAATAAATAAATTATGAAGAATGCCAAGCTAACAAACTTCTGTAGTCACAAATACTCACAATGCAAATTGGTCAGTATCCGTAACAGACTCATCAACAGATAGCTACTGCCCCTTTCATCATTAAGTGATCCTTCATTAATAACAGTAACATCGGGATGAGTTTTCCTCCTCCTCCTGTTGTGGCCGGCCAAACGCCTTCGACAACTTCTCTTCCCTTCATCAAACTCTTGAAGAACATGAAACCTGCCAAAAAATTTAACAAGTTGCATCCAACTTAGTACAAAGTTCTTTCAAACAGCTTCCACTCGGGACTAATCTACAAGAAATAAAGGATCTTCCCTTTTTTGAAGGTCCACAAAAATATTAATTTGATGATCACATCACAAATATGAAATGCATACCCCCACTAACCTGCTACACTGTTGACAGAAACGTTGCATAACATTTCCCACTAGTGCCATAGTGGCCTTCGAGTGAACACCACAAACCTTATGCCGACGGTGGTAATCCTTGGCATTACTAAGATCAGCCCTACAATCTTGCACCTGACAAACAGCACGGTTAGAGGTAGAAGTAGCAGCAGCAATAGTAGTCCCAATTACCTTTGTCTTCTTTCCACTTTTTTCCTCTCCTTCCACTATTAGAGGGTAACCTTGACCCCCAAGGTTCAAACTAAGGGAACCACCCTCATCATTTAGCCTCTCCTCTTCACCTTCCCCTATAACACCCCTTCTCCTTTTCTCCAATTCCCTCTTCCCTTCACCTGAGTTGAATAGAGAAGAAGACAAATTGGAAGATGGATTAGCATTTTTTGCAGAAATTTCAGGATGAGGTGGGAAAAACTGGCGACTACTACAATCTGATGGCACTGAATTGAGTTGTTGAGCAGTGAAAAGATCACCATCCCATTTCCAATCATTCAAATCCCACTCCAAACTCCCCTTCCCCTTCCCAACAGCTTTCTTCATCCCTGACACCACAGGTCCACACAAGTACTGATTCTTCCCCCCAAATTGTGCCTCCATAAATCAAAATTCAACAATATCCCCAGATAGCTTGAACAACTTGTGTTCATACCGACCTGCAAAAAACACATCAGGTGATAATAAAACACAAAAGGGTGGCAGCCCAGAAGAGAAAAATTGAAACTTGGAGGAGCATTTTCACAGAAGCATGAAGAAAATAGAATTTACATGAAAGAAGGGAAGAGAAGAAGAGTTGGGTGTGTGAGAGTGGCGGCTTTAAAAGGGAGACGAGAGAAATTAGGAACAGATTGCGTGACATCAAAATGTGTCTTTTTTATGTGCTGACTGCTCAGAGTGAAGAGTCATGGATCAGTTAGTTCTTATATTTAGTGTGACTGTGACAACATTGTCATCATGCCTAGTGTGGTTTGGTAAAAGTAAAGGAATCTCTACTTCTCCACTGTCCCAAAACCCATTTACTACTTTTCTGTATCGTTGAAAATCGACAAGAATTGTTGAATTTCAGAAACTAAATAATGCTACACATGCTCACGGACCACCAGTTATCAAAGAACTGCACGAGTGTCTACTGTCTACCATGCTACTACAATACTTGCTATTTATTATATTAAATTAAATGAAAAAAAAATATTTTAAAATTATATTTTATATAATTAAATTTTTTATATAAAAATATATAATATGTAAAATTATTAATTTATCCCTGTCTTTATATTTTTCATATAGAAGTGAGATTATTTTTTTAATAAATATAATATAGCAGCATATTAGTTATGTTAGTTCACATAACCAATTAAACATAAACGATTGTGCTATCTTATAAAAGAATCATAGTTGAATATGGTAATATATAATACATACATTTTTACGTGAGTGTATTCGTATAGAAACAAAATAGTAAGAGATCATTTTTGTAATTTTGGATGATCATCATATAATTTTTTGGAAATGACCGTTATTGAGAGGGAAATTCTCTTATCATAGGACTTACACAGTATTTGTAACACCCCAAATTTTCTATTAATACAATGTTTATTATTATTTGTGTTCATATATTTATTATAGTTAATTAAAAGGGTTTTTTATAAAATATTGTAAAGGTTTTTAATAATTTAAATTATTTATGAAATTCTTTTATAAAATTATGTTTCTTTAGGTTGGAACGGACTGTTCCAAAAGTGGAACGGGCCGTTCCAAACAATGAAAATATACTGATTTTGAAGTGACAGAACGGGCCGTTCCAATGTAGTAAAAAGACTCATTTTGATTTCTCCAGAACGGGCCGTTCCGGAATTCTAAAAATGTCTAAAAAGGTTAGTTAGAAAAGGGACGTTCCAGTAAAGGTCAATGTGTGTAAAATGAACTTCAGAACGGACCGTTCTACTTTTTGAAACGGGTCGTTCTCCTTTTTGAAACGGGTCGTTCTGCTTTTTGAAATGGGTCGTTCCAGTTGAGAATTTTTCATATGTTTGAAGGATCCGGAACGGGCCGTTCCAAAATCAGTACGGGTCGTTCCGAGTGCGCCAGGATGCCTATAAATAGGGGCAGGGGTGAAAATTTTATAACTGAGTGAGAAGTGAAAATCTTAGACAGAGAAAGAAAAGAGAGAGAGAAAGAAAGAGAAAGAAAGAGAGGGAAAGAAAGAGGGAATTCAGAAGAGGAGGCCCTGCCCAAGTTTCAACTCCGCTTATCCAGGTGATCAGCATCATGAAGATGTTGGTAATGAGGCTTAAGGCTTCAGTTGGGCATGCTCTGATAGGATGTGACATCGGTCATAGCTAGGCTTATTTTGGATGTTGTTATTTTAAAAAACTTTAATTTTCTCTTCTTTTGTAATTTTTAACGTTCTTAAGAAAAGACCAAAATGTATATCTTTGTCATATTATTTGTATTACATGATTTGAAATTTATAAATTAATTCCTAACTAGAAGGCACTGCCACCTTTACTGGAATTAATCTATATTTTCCTTTTATATGATCTCTTGAATTTTGATACTTACATGATGATTTTCTATGATTTATGAGTTATGAATGTGAATTTTCTACCTTATGATTTGAGACATTTATTTTATCATGAAAGATGTTATCACACTATGAAAGGTTTTATTTACTCAAGAAAAGAAAAAAAAATTATTATTTACATCTATTGTGTATTAATGTTGGGGTAGAGGGTGTCACAGTATTTATCTCAAATCTACTTTAATTTACTTTTATCAAATAAGGTTACTTTAATTTACTTTTATCAAATAAGGTTACTTTTATTAATTTTCCTCAAATTCATGATAAATCACGTCTCCAAATTGGGTATGGAAATAATCATATTTGATCAAGATTAATATTTAATTTTTTATTTATATTAAAATAATATTTAGTCATAAATTATGTTTTATGATCACATATTAGTCCTTAGTTATCAGATTGTGAAACATTGCATAAATTATGCCTATGGACAAAAAATCACACTTGATCAAGATAAGATTATTTCACATGATAAAATTATTCATGTAATAACAAAGTCATACTTTCAATTTGATATCATTAATTAAACTAAAACAGTTAATTTAATGTTGGCTATTATTTATTTCTTTTGATCTTTTTATAAAACTTAATTACTTTTTTATTAAAAACACTCGATTACTTAATTTATTGAGAATATGAAAGTTGTTAATTTAGTTGATTATATTAAATTTATATATTTTTAATATTATATTTTATAAGACTTTTATTCTACTTAAATACTTATTGAATTAAGATAAATGATTTTAATTAAGGGTAGTATTTTGTATATATAAAAATAAAAAAGACAGAAACATTTTAGATTGGTTTTTCTAAAATAAATCGAGCAACTCTTTTAATTTAGATCTCATAAACGACGACTCAAAGAAATATCATTTAAATCTTGTTACTACATTAAAAGTTTTACACTTCAAAAATTACTTTGAAATAATTATTATAGAAAACAATAAAAACTATTTGAAACAAAAAAAGTTATTCAAGTTATTACATACTCACATCGTAATTAAATTTGATATCATTAATTACACCGAAATAATAATGTAACAATTTAGAGTATTTAAAATAATTAATATTTTTATAAAAAAATCATCATAAGGTTTTGAAATATATTTTTAATTAATATATAAAATAATTTTAATTTAATCATTCACCCACTTTATAAAAATTGTAACATGTCTAAGCCTTAATATAGAAAAAAAATTACTTTTCCATAAGGAAAACATCAATACTTATGATCACAAGTTCACAACCATAGGGGAACTCAATTTATAAATTTGAGAACTGACTCACTTATTCATGAAATTATATATCGCTTAAGCCGTATCTGGTTATCATAAATTTAAACTCAAACTAAACGAGCCAATTAACCATCTGTTGTGATATATAAGGGCTTATTTTGTAAACTTTTTTCACGTAAGAACCGAATTAATTAAAAATAAATCACGTGTATAAGAACAAAAAAATTCAATTAAATCAATGACATATAAAACAATAATAACAACTCTATAAAAAAGATACGACGTAATTTTTATAAATTTATAAACAAATCAATTGTATAGAATAAGTGTGAAATTGCATGTGGGTTTAACAAGATTAAATTCAAAAAACGAATTTAATAAGATGTATTAATTTAATTGTAAGAAAACAAACTTTAATATAAGTAATATAATTATATATTCATATAATTTATTAAGAGGTGATTTGTTGAAGTGGAGAATATTGGTTTTATTTTATTAGGAAAGTATTGGTATATATATATATATATA